AATAGAAATATAAAGCAAAAGAGTTTAAAAATAAGGGCAGAATAAAGTCAAAGCAAATTTTAATATTCACCTTATTTAAAAAAAAGGGAATGAGTAACACCATTAATAGTGCAACTGTCTGTTATAGCAGTATCTGGACTAAAGGGTGAAACTCATCCCAGTGGAGAGAACATATCAAAGCCCTATATTAAGGATTTAAGTAGATCACAGTCCCATCTTTAGTCTTCTGCCTGGAGCAGGATTCACACAAAGAACATATAGTTTCCTTCATAAGTTGACTTTGAATACTGACCACTTTTGCTTAGTAGCTGCATCTTTACCATTGAAGTGAAGGGCCTGGCTTTTAAAATAGCAATAGAAGTTCTCATTTAGAAGCAGTATTTCATGTAACTTTGCAGAGGGAAGTAATTAAAATCTTGGCATCTAATGAATGACTATATGTGATAAGTATTGCGATTTTGTATTTACAAGTCTACCATATTTCATTTGATAATTAATAAATTAGGCACATCAGCCTGTGTAAGAAGAAAATCTCTTATGAGTGGTCAAGTACAGCAGAGGTGAGGCATCTAGTGCTGGTAAAGCTATTGGAGGAATAAGCAGCCATTGAGGAAGAAAAGCAGTAGTGGGAACTGCTGAGTGCACAAAATTGGCAACAGAAAGTCATAGCATGGGGTAACTAACAGAGAGCAATTGGGAAGTGTCATTTTAAACAGGCAGTGATCATTAGCTGTTTGGGTGTCCATGAGATGAATCCGGGATTTACATCCATATGCAAAATAAACAATGGGTATATTTTGAACAATGGGTAATTTGTTTGGGATTTTTTTTTCTTTTGGTGATTTGAGCTTTACTCTTGTGGTTATGATGATAGCAGATCTCCTCAGTAGAACTATAACCGCTTTATTCTTTACTGCCTTCTTATTCCATGTACTAAGCACTCCATGCTGCTTCATCTTACGTTCCTGGGTTTTCCAGTTTTGTTTATGGAAAGTTAAAACTTACTATATAGCATATGGTGTGTATTGTGATCTATACAATTTCCTGTGTTAGGCTGTATAGTGTAACATTATCCTGTAACCTTAAAAAGAAAAAGAATGGAAGTAACGTCCAAAGACATTTGGGAGCAAATCCTGCCTCCTCATCCAGCACGCTCCATGACTGTAAGGAATCCTGATCCACTTTGATTGCACTGTGTGGAGCAGAATGCTGGGCCCCAGTGCATTGGACCCAGGTCCCCGTCACACCATAGATATTTTCTGTGCATGGGCTCCCAGTGTTCCATGGAGCTGGGGGCTTTGTGCAAACAAAGGAGGAATGGGCTGGCGGATGTGTGGCTATGGTCACTCTCCCCATGGAAAGGACAGGAGCTATAGAGGCTCCTGCAACTCTGAGGCTGTAACAACAGCCATAGAGTAACTTAGGGGATGAGTTATCATCTTACCTCTCAGGCCTTAGACTTTTGCAGCACACAGTCCAATTACTGTGTATGGGAATTAGGATTTGCTTTTGTTGAACGTATTTCTTTTACTTTGATCTTGTAACAGATAACATCATAATGGTATTTAACCACCTTTAAAATCACTATGAAAGAGGCACATTTCCATTTGATTAAATGCAGTGTGATTTGAGAACAACTTGGAGCAGAAATTATATCTGTTAATTTAAAGCAAATTTTCACATAACTCCCTTCCTGCCCTCATCACCTCTACCCTTTTTTCATTTAAGCCTTGTCTAGACTTATCTTAGGGCTGTGTGAAGGGTCTGCGATGGGAGCAGACCCCTGCACACCCTCTATGCTTATGGAAAAGGTTATGAATTGTGCACCAGCTGGCAAGGCTATTTCAGAGGCAAACTGGGGGCTGCACTACGGACCAGGGTAGGGGTTGTCAATTCACATTTAGACAGTCCATTGACTTTTGTTTCTAAATCTTCTGTTTTAATGATAACTATCAGAATTCTGAATATTCTGGTTAGCAATATAAATGTCTAATCTTTTTTTAAACTTACTAAATCCTTGGTCTCCAATATCTTGTGGCAATGAATTCCACAGGCTAACTATACCTTGTGTGGAAAATGATTTCCTTTCATCATTTCTGAATTTGCTACACTTCAGTTTTATTCTCTTTGTTCTTGTGAGATGAGACAGGATGAGTAATTCCTGATATACCTTCTGTCCATTATTATTTTGTATACTTTGATCACGTCCCGTCTTATATCATCTTTCTCAGGTAACAGTTCCAATCTCTTCAATCTCTCATCACACATCTCAGAGCCCCCTCTCTTTCTGCTGTAACTTTTTGAAAGGTGGTAACCAGAATGAACACATTATTCCAGGTTGAGGGTGTGCCATTGATGTACAGGGTGGGTGAAATCCTGATCCCGGTGAAGTCAATGAGAGCTTTGCCAATAACCTCAGTGGGGTCGATTTTGCCCAATGACATTATGATATTTTCCTTATTTTTCTCCATCCCGCTCTTTATAAACTCAATTTGAAAATTTGATACCTCAGAACTTTCATCTGGAAAACCACTGGCTCAGTTCTCTTCCCCAAATTATTGGCAGATCAGCAGTGTGGACCTGTGGGCAACATTAGCTTGTTTCAAAAGCATTTTGATGATACATTCAAATTTTGTCCTGAATTAAACCTGTGCAACCCCACTGAACCCAGTGGGGTTGAACAGAGGTTGAACAGATGTAACGGAGGGCAGAATTATCGCCCAACACTTTGAAAAAATGTATTCTACTTCCTCAGGTGACCTTTCACTTGAGAATCAACTAAGAAATACTTTATATGGCATATAAAAATAAAAGTGCAACTGTTGTATGTAATGCAGAATAAGCATATGGTATAACTTGTATGTTTTTATAAAATTAGCAACAACAAAAAATCTATGAACTTCTGGGTTTCCTCCCCAAAAATATCTAATCCATGTTCAGATTCTTACCAGCTAATAAATACAGTAAATAAAATGTTAATAAATCACCTGCAATTTAGCCTGACAATGTGGATTGACCGCATTGATTACATTGATTAAATTTCATATATTTACAATATGTAGACACAAGCCCAATTTATTTTCTGAAGAGTTCAAGGTAGGTATCATTGGTTTAAAAAAAAAACAATGGAGTAATGTTTGTGGTTGCTATCTGCAATAATCTAATGCTGACAGAGAGCAGTATTTTATTTAGTAATTAACAGTGTAAAGGGGAGAGAAGCTGTCATGTTGGTTCTTAAGCTGGGGAATGTGATGAAAGATGATATCTGCGATCTCATCCTTTCCACTTGTTTAGGATTGTCAGGATGAGAAATGTCAGCATTATGAAAGCTCAGCTCTGCTCTTGATATGATAAAACCCTTCAAAAGCCAGTCTTTCTCTCCCTCTCCCCCTCCTTTCTCCCTCTCCCTGCACTTGCTTTTTTATTTATCCTGTTTTGTTAGATGGCAGAAATATAATTCTTTTCTTTCTTCCTATTATAAGCCACCATTTTTGTTTTATTATATGTTTCACAACCCCTAATGCCCCACTGAAAATTACTTTGTTAAATGACAGTGTTTCAAAGCCATGAATCCTTTCCACCATTCCCTCAGAGGTTTGAAACAGTCAACAGACTGTAAAGAATAAATAATAAAAAAGTATTGATTATTTTGATGACTGTGAGATTCAATTAAGTATTAATTTTGCCCTCCAGTGGACCTATCAAGGTATTCAAAAGGGAGGATTCAGCTCAGCTAAATGCGTGCTGAGTGCTTCAGCCTTAAATAGGGAGAAAATGTGTTTACCTACAGTATTTGAAGAGGAGTGCATTGATGCACAGAGTCCAATATTTAAGTGCTGTGCAAATTAAGCCCTGGTGACAGTGACATTGTTTTCAGCGATATGAGTATTGACTAAAGAAGTGCATTTGATGACAGCTTAAACTATTTGTATTGATTAACATTTTCATAGATTATCATGTGTCATATCAAATTCACTTTTCAGACATGAATACATTAAAAAAACCCATAGGCAAACATCGACCAATGTGATGATGGGACATAGGGAACATGCTAACCAACCTACTTGCACGCTGGTCACCTGTTCTCTGCATAAGAACCATTTAGGCATGAACTTTGCAATAAATAGCTGCCAGATAGCGCAACAAGGTCACTTGTTTCTTTTCTTTTTTTGCTTTTGAGTCTGGTTTCTGAGCTGTAACGATATTATACATCTTAGTTTGCAAATGGAATAATAGAGTGCACTTGGAAATAATATCTGACCCCAAAATGCCCTCTGAATGAGCTGAAGATAAAACAGATCCAAATCATCAAGAACCAATTTAACTAATATATATAATTTTTTATGGGAGTATAATGTCCCAAATACAAGAATAATTGCAAACACTGTGTGTAAGTATCTTCACTGATTTTATCTTTTAAACATTTATATCTGTATATATTGCTTTTTTAAAATGTGTTTATGGGCTTTTGGAGCACAGTATCCCAAAAGCAAGAATAGTTAGAACAAATATATCTGTGTTGAATGTATATGCTAAAATGGCTATTTGTTGCTTTGTATTTTCACTAAAACATTGGAGTGATGAACATTGTTGTGTATGATTTGGTTAATGCTATTCAAGTGAGGATGCTTCTTTAAATCCCTCGGGAGCATACACCAGGTGCTACTCTTCTGTGTTGTTGAAGCACACTTGCAGCGATTTTATTTTCTTACCACGTTAAGGAAGGAGGGAGGTGTAAAAACATACACAAAAAAACAACAAAACCACATCCCACAATTAAAGCTGTGTTGCTTATGTTGCTTTCATAGAAGTTTTTCTCCAAAGCATCCTGAATCTCTCACATGCTAGTTGAGCTTTAATAGGGTGGGGAGTAATGGAAAACTCATTGGATCTGTAATAGCTCTTCACTTGACTGCAGCCAGCAATAACAGCAGGAGCAGCAAGAGATAAGAGAGTGTGTGTGTGAGAGAGAGAGAGGGGGGAGTGGGAGAGACTATACGCGCACCAAAGCTGCCACTTTTTCCCCCCTCATTCTTCTTTCCCCCCCCATCCTAGGATCCAATGATAGCTGGACAAGTCAGTAAGCCCTTGCTGTCACTGCGGAGTGAAATGAATGCAGAGTTGAGAGGTGAGGACAAGGCAGCTACTTCAGACAACGAGCTGAATGAGCCCTTGCTTGCGCCTGTGGAATCAAATGACAGCGAGGACACTCCCAGCAAGCTCTTCGGTAAGTCAGTCTAGGTATTTCATTTCAGTGTTACCAGTGTTATCATTTCAGCAATTCCCCCCCCCCTTTATTTTATTCGCTTAATTTTCTTGTAATACCAGGGAGTAGCTTGGAGTCTGCAGGTGTACAGCCATATGCTCTGACTTTCAACTGGGTAACAGAATGACAGCATCATGTCCTGAAAACTTTTGTCAACAATGAACTTATTCCATGCAAGTTGTAGGCATTGTATATTTTCTCTTGCTTAAGGGTCTCTAATATAAACACAAATAAACGATCCTGCTTGGTTGTGATTTTTTATTAACATTTATTGCCTAAGTATTGACTCCAGAACTTCAGTTTCTCACAGTCCCTTCTGAGGATGAAGTATACTAAAGAGTGTCATTATATCTAGTAAAGTGAAAGCTAGGAGAAAAGAGAACTGAAAATTGTCCATAGAAAACATTGTGCATTAAGTAAACAAAGGATGCAGTGAGGATTGCTTTCAGGTATAATATTTTCACAATTGAAATTAGAACTAAAATTTTGCTTCCAAAGGTTATAGAGGGAGAAAATACATTTTTACACTGTATCTTATGACTAATGAAAACACAGCCTTTCAGGTGTATTTGTTTCATATCCAAAACAAGAGCAGTGAGAGTGGCATTCCAGAATAGACATCTGTCATTCAAACAGATGACACCCTGTAAGCCAACTCAAGCAACTGTGATCTCTAATCAGAAAAGGGAGCGGAGTAGTAGAGGCGCATGCTTGAGTGATAGATGTTGATAGATGTCTGTGCTGGAGCAGCACTACATGGTACATAGTGACATTTTGGTTTTAGAGCAATTGCTCCTGAAAGAGTTCCTTTTAATTATATCCATTTGTGACTATATAAAATTCTTAGATGGAATGGAGTGCATTCTTACATTTTACAAATTCTCACAGCTGGAACTTTAAGGGGAAAAGATTTTCTTTACAAGGAAATGCAGTTTTGAGAGAGAGATCTCATTTTCTGAGATTCAAGTTTTGATTTCATGATCTGTACTGAATCTGTAGCAATGTTCAGATGTCTATACCCTAGATCTAATAGGAAAAACTGCAAAATGATCTTTACAAAAAGTCTGTGCAATTTTCTTTTAAGAAGGTGTCCTTTCATATTATTAGAAGCTACACATATTCTACAGAATGTTTTACTGAGTAACTTAATTCAGGAGAGGGTGAAATAAAATGTGAAGATTTAATTTCTAGAATACAGTAGTGACCACTATGGAATATAATAGTTTTAATATAACAGTTTTAAGCCACCCCCCTCTTCAATATATATATATATTGGAAAACAGAATTTCCATTAGCAATTTGAATGTTCAAATTCCATATAATAATCATTTAGTCCATTTCATCAAGAGAAGAATTGTGATGTCTAAAATTCAGAGGGCTAATACTTGTGTGTGGTGATCTAAATATCTTAAAGAATGTTCATGTATTTTATTTGATCAGGTGTTTAGGTGGCAAGAGATTAATATAAAATATCTCAAAGTATGACAACATCCTGAACATTTGTACTTAACCTGAGACTACCAATATGTCTTTACAGTCTGATTTTGTTCAGTTATGTTATATGTTTTAGATTAGGTAAGTTTTATAATAAAGAGTGGGATGTCCCTGAGTTGTTGTCATTTTTGCATGTTTAAATACCATTGTAGAGCACCTAAGTAGTTTCCTTATAGTTTCTCTGTAGGGTAAAAATAATGTGCCGTGATCTTTTTTCCTTTTGGATTGTAAATTATTAATTTTGCTTAGCCGCAAACCATAATGAAAAAGATGCAAGTGAACATACTGTACATGAGTACTTATTTGTGAGTTTAAGGTGTCTGCTACTCTGCTTTCAGACTTCTAACAAGGTATCACCAAAGTAAATCATAGTAGAAGCAAATAGTTTCACTACCTCAAAGTGAACTGTGTAGCATTTATCTGGGTTTTCCCTTCAAGCAGTAACCTTTACCAATGAGTTGTTGTTGCTTTGGGAATGTAAAAGACAGGACAATGGGACTATTCAGCAGGATGAAACTGGATGAACTTATTTAAAATAAAGACACTTAGGAGTTATTCAGCTGATGTAATATAGTTTATTAAGTGATTCAGTGTTTAATTGCTTTATTTGAAAAATATGACACACAAAATATAGTGCTATTCTAGAGCAGCTTCTCTGTTTAGAAATTTGAACGGCATGTTAGGAATGCACACTTTGGGCCTTACTTTGCAGTCTCTTATATTCTGTGTGTATATGATTTGCATAAATTGATGCAAAAAGTGGCATTATTTCTCTGATAATTTTCTTTCGTATGAAACAAGATTAGCATTCCCTGAGTTTCTTATCTAGCATTTGGTACACATTGTGGGACATTTGCCAAATACCTGGTAAGGAGGAGCATTTTAACAAGTGAGGGGAGGAGACTGGCCCATAGATGAAAGTTACACAGACGGTCTTCTTCAAATTTTGAAATAATTGTGTGTACTAGCTTACTTCGAATGACCAGCATTTGATTTTCCCATGTCTTGCTAAACTTAGCTGCATTTCCTGGGTCATATTTTCATACAGAGTAACTGATTTTATAATAGTTTGAATAGATCAGGCACAAATAGTGTTTTCCTCAGCATCAGGTATGAATGTCTCTACTTGCCACCTAGTTTTCTTTTGACAGACATGTTTGTTGTTGTTGTTATTATTATTATAAGTACCTGCATCCTTCAAGAATGTTTCAGAAAATGCACACCCCATTTTCTACAGTATCTAGGGATGGAATAATGGGGATGAGATACCTGTGGCCTGCACACATACGCTTTCTCTCTCTCTCGCTCGTTCACTCTTTCTGTCTCCTTATTGCACACTCTCTCTCTCTTTCTTTCTCTCTCCTTATTATAGTATCTCACAGTAATGGAGAAACGGATATTCATATCTTGTTTTGCTAGAGCATAGAGTAACTAGTATTAGAAATGACTCTTCTCCAGCAGCAATTTCAGTTTCAGGTGGTGAAGATACAGGATTAAGATTGACTATACTAATTTTTGGCATGTGAAGGATGGTGAATTTTTGGCCTAATCCTATCTCCTAAATGTATACTTCGCCACCAGTGGCAGAGGAGGTGAAGGCATCAGCTTTTCAGACACTAGGAGCACAAGTCTGACTAGAGGCAGCTTTCCCACAAATCTTAAGCAATTCCAGTCTAAAACTCTGAGCCAGGTCCTTAACTGGTGTACCTCCTAATTTATAGCGGCTGAGATATGGCCCTTTGTCTTTATGAGAGAGTATCCCCTTAAAGTCGTGATCAAAGCGGTTAATACTAATGCCATTGCTTTTTTGTTTGTTTTTAGAAATCAAAGTCTGTTCTGTAATCTTTTGATATTGTCTGTCTTGCCTAAACTGGACCTCATAGGCTTATGTATCTATGGACTTCTGATATCTTTAGAGAATACTTTTATGCAAAACTTTAAATGTTTGAATCATGCTAAGCAACAGTGGGAAAACAAGATAAGAGATGCTGCTGCAAGTGCAAAATGTCAGAAAAGGACTGTAGTGTTCTGTAACATATTACATCAGAGGTAACATTTTGCTTAACTTGCAGAGTTATAAAAGCTACAGTATACTTATGAGATATAAATCCAGATTGCGTTGAGTAACATGAGATCGGGTAATTGTGTATGCTATTAAGTGGCATATTATTTAATCTTGTAAATATTGGAGAAGAGTTATCTCCTATTTCAATCATGACTCCTTTATGTTAAGAGCCAAATAGAAGCATAGACTGTTTAGTAAGTCATTGACTTTCTTGGTAGAGTGCTGTCCTAAATCAAGTAGGTTTATGTTGCACTGTGCTCCAAATTAATGACACAGGGCCAAATCCTAGAGTCCTTACTAGAGGAAGCTCCCATTGATGTTGATAGGAATTTTGCCTTAGTAAGGACTGAATAAATACTAGAGGATTAGATTCGAAATTATTTAAATCCTGCAAGATGTTCATTCAATATCTTGATGACCTCTGTAAAATGTTTAAATCCATCTGATAAAAGCCTGATAATGCGGAATAAAAACTTAATTATTAGCATTATACAGTTTCAATAGTTGGTATAGAGAGGAGATGTGGGAAGCAATATGTACTGCACATAAAATAATATGTACAGGGTTGATTCAACTCCATGAAAGCCATTGGTAGTCACTTTGTGGACTTCCTGTAACACAGAGCCTAATCCAAGTTCCATTGAAGTCCATGGAGTGATTGCTATTGGCCTTCATGGAGTTGGATCAAGCCCTTAATGGGCCAGATTCATTCCTGGTGTAACTCGGTTGCTGATAAAAAAGATACAGCAGGGACACATTTACAGCACATTAAGATCACTTACTCAAATATAAAAATTTAATCATTTTGGACCTGCTCATGTGTTTTTACACACCCTAAACTTTCTGTGAAATTAGAGATTTTGCATGGAATGCAAGATCAAGCCTAATGTTCATTTAGCATAAATGTTGCTTATTTAATTTTGCAGCATTGCAGGATGGATTGCCAACATTTCTTCTGCTGGCAACACTTCCTTCTGTTCAAGTTAAATCTCAGGCTTGCTTTGCATATATATATATATGTGTGTGTGTGTGTGTGTGTGTGTTAATTTCCCATTTTTAAATACTGAAAATCAGTTTTGACATTTTGGTATCCTTTACAGTATAATTATGCAGAGTTTAGAATTTTCTACATTTTTGCTTGTGTGTGGCAGTGTTCTTGTGAAGCAGGATAGAAGTTAGAACAGTAATTTTGCTTTGCTAGAAAATCCACTGTATATCTCTCTTCTCAAAGCCTCTTTTGCAGAAAAAACATTCATTATGTGATTTATTTTTTAAATTGTCATCCAGGTTGGCCTGATTAGAATTTATGGCACAAAAGTCATTTCAGATACAAAGGATGAAAGCCTAAATTGTCTTTCACTCCTTGAGACAGTGGCCTCTGCAGGTCAGAGCAGAGGTCATT